TTTTCTCGTTTGCACCGGAAATCCTTATACGAGAGAGCGTTACTTATGTGTCGATTTTCTGTAAAACGATTGCGTCATCCGCAACACCTACGAAGTGTGAGCATGACTGCCGGTGTTGCTAGTTTTCAGAAAAGAAATATGAAGAATTCAGTCAAAGGTTTAACAACATGCCATTGAATCGCTTCACGGCAATAAGCCAGTCTGCCGTTACCACCAGTCGGCAAGGCGGTCCCATTAGGCTGAATACAATGGACTTGAGCCGAAAACAGCCATTGACTGCCCCCCACGTTAATTCCCTAACTATCACAATACCTGTCTGATATCCAATACTGTAACTACGAGCGGCACTGGCTTCCACATCAGTGGAGACTGAATGACATTCCGTGTGTCCCCTCCCCTCCCCCCATTCACCCCCTATCCGGGATGAGGGTCGTTCCTAGCATCACCGTGCATTGATACAGTGGATCTATGGGCGAGCGATACCTGTGTGTTAGGTATACTTGGATGCGCGCGTCCTGTGGTGATTGTGCTGGCATTGATATGATTGGTGGTGGTGAAGACTAGGCTGTAATGTTATATTGACCCGGCTTGTTACCAAATCATTCGACGCTGGTTAGATTATGCAATGTACATATATGCAGGTATTGTACATGTATCTAACTTCAATAGAATGTGGTTTTTAGTTACATTTACGGCTCTTTGGCTGAGCATAAAACAGCCAAATGATGGTATCTTTTATAGGCAAAGATGTAGATAGATGTGTGGGTGTATTTGAGAAAAGATAAGTACAAAGCGACCCCGGGATGTAACAATCTTAAGTTCTGAATACGTCCTCTTTGTTCGAAAATATCAAAGCATGTCTGATATTTCACGTATGTGTGGGTGTCATCAGCCATGCTACTGTCACGTTACCCACCTGTCATTATGTAGTTTCGTGCAGTCCGTGACCTCTTGACCCTTGCCTGGCGTGTGTGTGTACTGACATATGGCAGAGCCTTCTTTGTGGCTGAGATTCCGCATTGAGGTCTTCTCAGATCTAGGGGGACCATGGAGTCTTCATGCAAGGAGCAGTCACTTAAAAACGAGAAGTTATCGACTAGAGACTCAGGTCAGTCTTTCCACCCGGACCGAAGCTATCAAACGAAATGGATTTGGGCAGTAATGTCTTGAGACCGACGTCCCAGCGGTAGTCATGAAGTTATCCCGCGCTGAAATTCTCATGAAACTCTCCAATGTCTTCTTTTGTGAGGCAGTGCCACTATCGTGGACTTTGAAGATTTTACGCTGTTTTATGCTGCGGATAGTGGCGTTTTCCCTAGCTCCGCTGCTTCTGGAAAATAAGTTGTTTTACAGCTGTGCGAAGAGATGTCATGAACGGGCATGCATCTAGGAGAATTCTGGAAAAACATTGAAATATGTCCGGGGAGAATTCTGAAAAAGTGAAATACCTACATCCGGGGGAAATGCTGGAAGAAATTAATAAATATCCGGAAGAAATTAATAAATATCCGGTTAGAATATCGGAATCTATTGAAGCAGTTGCATCCGGAGCGGAAGCTGGGAGAACTTAATGTGACGTAAGATCTGAAGAGATGTAGCTGGAACTTATACATGAATGAGAATGTTTCCTGCTTGGGGAGGCATAACGTTAGGACATGAATCGGCGAACACATCCGGACAGGCAATGTGGTAATATCTGGCCTTCATCAAGGCTCAGTTGCTTTGCCATCGCGGTCGTCGAGCCGATCTTGATCGTTTCATCTCAAAGCCAAAGCACTCATCATTCGCAGCGCCCCGCAGTTCCCCCCGAACTGCGTATGTCGCCGCCGGAGACCTGTCGGCGACACTCTGTTGCTCGTGCGGTCCCACTTCCGGTCGCCATCATTAATTCCGTAAGCCGTCTCCACCACTTGCGGTCGGAAATGTACGGCTTCCTGTGCATAGTGGACTAGATGGCGGTGAGATGTGATGGTCCCCGTAACACGGCAGAAGGGTGGAGTCTTCTACGGCATTGCTACGGAATGTTAGATTCGTGGAAATAGTCGGTCTTGTAAGGTGACAGTGGCAGTAGGTGGCCCAAAGTTATGTCCTTTTCAAACATTGTTACCCTTTGGCGAACATAAATCTGGGGAAAAACACTTTAGAATCCGGAAGCCTTGTTTTTTTTTTTAAGTGAATTAACGGGATCAGAAATCCATGCATAAACATATACATCGAAAACCTATTTTTGAACCAATAAGAATGTTTGGCGAATAACGAGCGAACGCAATCGGAAGCAGTGCACATGTGCTCTGTGCATCTGCGAAGTTGGACCTGTCCTAAGCTGATTATGTGTGGCTCCTCTCCGACCGATCCCTTATACCGTACCAACTTTGAGAGCTAGTGGCCCAGCTGTTCTCGAGCTGTAGAAAGATATTAATCTAAAATAGGATCTTCAAAGCTTCATCAATGTACCTGGCACGCTTCAAACCAAATCTGAAAACTCAAAATGCTGAATATTTAGGTAAGTTCATTAGAATATGCTGAATATTTCAATTCCCACATGCCTGACACAAACGCTATTTATTTTATGAACCGGGGCCGGGGATGAGAGATTAGGAACGCCCTCGCAACACCTATGGGTGTTGCGAGGGCGTTGAAGAGAAGGTTATATTCGGGAACCGGTCCGTTGTTTAGTGATGCAACTGTGATTGTCATGGTTACCGCCCTCAGGTAGTGTTTCAACATCGTTCGGCTCAGTTTCTGTTGCCGCGCTGTTTTTATGGCCGAGTCATCATGCCTGATAGGTATGGGTGATGATTAACAGACAGCATGACATGTGCCGTATCGTGTTCATGTTTCTCTTTGTTGTCATGGTAACGAGAGTGGTTGTCTGCAGTTAGCATCTGGCAGAAACGTGATTTTAACCCTCGCCCATGTAGGGGGGGGGTTGGTGCAACCCCCCCCCTGAGGTTTTTCGGAAATAGTGCAAAAAACGGCGGCGCGCAGCGCCGCCAAATTTTGGGTACCTTATGGGGCAAACCTTGCGCATCTTTTGATAAAAAAAATTTGACCGGGTCATGTCAGGTCACGGAGTTATGACGTCACAAAGGGAACAGCCTCCGGCCGGATTTTCACAAACTGAGTGCCAACGCCCGAGGTTTCCTGCCGGTGGTACGGACATCGGTTGATGGATCGTGATGAAACTTCCCATGCATGTTGGGGCAAGTATTGGCTATCATATGGTATAAGAAATTGACCGGGTCAGGTCAGGTCACGGAGCTATGACGTCACAAGAGGAACAGCGTCCGGTACTATTTTTGAAAAGCGCCCGAACCACTATTTTGCTAATTCTTGTCACCTCAATGGGAATATGCAGCAATATTAGCTTCTATAGGGAGCAAATGGACCTTCCAAATCCAAAAATACAATCAGATTTCAAAAATTTAAATTTTGATTTTTCGAATTTCTGCCGCCGACTGTGACCTTGCCGACTTCCGGCGCTCCCAACGCGCCATTTTTAGAGCTAGGGAAACGAAATACATACCAAACGATAGAGAATTGATCAAGAAACACGAGAGTGAAGGTTTCAAGTCGATATCTCCCACCGTTTTGCCGCAATCGCCGCGGAAAGTTGAAAAAAATCTATTTTTCCGAAAATTTGACCTTTGACCGGTCAAAAGTAGGTCAAATGTTGACCTAGGACCAAAAAATATACCACCAATCGCGAGATCTCGGCGAGAGCAATCCGTTGGTCTTTTCCGCTAGGCTCTACGACGCTCCGTTTTCAAACGCCAAGGGGGGGTCGCACCAACCCCCCCCCCCCCTGCATGGGCGAAGGTGGCAGATCGCCGTTTACGGGCGAGGGTTAAAGGCAGTAGTGATCCGTTTTCCTTATGGTACCAAGCGGGTGATGAGTGAATCTGATGGACCGTTTATTGGCTGATGCTATCGATTTCCTTTCAATACTCGTCCGTTAGTATATGCTGGTTTTAGGCACATTTGCCTTCTTTTACGAACTCATTTTATTGCAAAAAAAAAACTGATGTTAAAATCAGAAAGTAGAAATCATGTCTAAGACAGCTATAGGTATAACTTGTCAATCGACATACCATAGTTGAGTTCAATCAAAACTAATCACGACAAAAATTAACCAAAATGGAAGTCAAGCTCAACTTTAACCTGTTCTGGACCATGGAGCGCAACACGTAAGACTGCTGCGATATGATTCGTTGGGGTTTACCCATGCCTTGATGTCACAAGCCCTGCCGATTTTCTTTCTCCTTTTTCTCGATTTTCGCGCGGCGTCTCCGGTGCCGTTTCCCGTGTGGTCCCGACGATGTCATCCTGATCATCGATCACCTGTCACCCTGACCGATCACGTGACATAGCGGGTACCGTGTGAATGATGACCCGGTGGGGACATGTGACTGAAGCCCCGGGAATGGCCTGGACCGCCCATAACTCTCGGCAGGGGGTCTGGGCCAGGGGGAGATTGGTGGGGTGGCTGACTTGCTGAGGCTATGCTCACAGCCCAGCACCTACCAAGAGACTTTGCACAAGAGCATTGCGGTTATATGCGTACGGCCGTCCAATAAAAGATTGGCTGGTCAGGCAAAGTGTTTTTGGGATGATAACTTCGAATGACACATACATTCCAGTGACACGATTTGATAAAAATGAGAAAAGGTTTCGTGCGGATGCTTCGGCAATATATGTTAACAGCATATAGACGTGTTCATCAATGGTGATCGATTTTTGTGATGTAGACAACCAACCACTTTATCTTGGAGGGCCGTACGCCGTCTGTTGTTGTTTCCATATGCAAAAACATAACAGTTTTGTCTACCGTTTGATATTTGCATTGGTACTCGGCATGTACTTTTTACGTAACTATACGCCGGCAGACTTTGTTTCTGTCTTTTGCCTTTTGTTCATGAATCAAAACAGCCTGTCTTTTGCCTGTCTTTAGCTTGTCTTTTGTTCATGAATCAAAACAGCCTGTCTTTTGTTTGTTTCAGGCGCCAGTAACATCTCCACGAGCACGAGCAGTTTCGAGGCAGGGGTGCAGCACGACCCTAATCTGAACAGACTGGCGGTGAACATGTTCACCAAGACCGAACAGTACCTGCAGGGTGAACTGGACGCCGTTCTGGTGAGTTTGGAGAGAGTTTATGTATTGGTACGTGCAGGGTGAACTGGACGCCGTTCTGGTGAGTTTGGAGAGAGTTTATGTATTGGTACCTGCAGGGTGAACTGGACGCCGTTCTGGTGAGTTGGGATAGAGTTTATTGGTACCTGCAGGGTGAACTGGACGCCGTTCTGGTGAGTTTGGAGAGAGTTTATGTATTGGTACCTGCAGGGTGAACTGGACGCCGTTCTGGTGAGTTTGGAGAGAGTTTATGTATTGGTACCTGCAGGGTGAACTGGACGCCGTTCTGGTGAGTTTGGAGAGAGTTTATGTATTGGTACCTGCAGGGTGAACTGGACGCCGTTCTGGTGAGTTTGGAGAGAGTTTATGTATTGGTACCTGCAGGGTGAACTGGACGCCGTTCTGGTGAGTTTGGAGAGAGTTTATGTATTGGTACCTGCAGGGTCAACTGGACGCCGTTCTGGTGAGTTTGGAGAGAGTTTATGTATTGGTACCTGCAGGGTCAACTGGACGCCGTTTTGGTGAGTTTGGAGAGAGTTTATGTATTGGTACCTGCAGGGTGAACTGGACGCCGTTCTGGTGAGTTTGGAGAGAGTTTATGTATTGGTACCTGCAGGGTCAACTGGACGCCGTTTTGGTGAGTTTGGAGAGAGTTTATGTATTGGTACATGCAGGGTCAACTGGACGCCGTTTTGGTGAGTTTGGAGAGAGTTTATGTATTGGTACATGCAGGGTCAACTGGACGCCGTTTTGGTGAGTTTGGAGAGAGTTTATGTATTGGTACGTGCAGGGTGAACTGGACGCCGTTCTGGTGAGTTTGGAGAGAGTTTATGTATTGGTACCTGCAGGGTGAACTGGACGCCGTTCTGGTGAGTTTGGAGAGAGTTTATGTATTGGTACATGCAGGGTCAACTGGAAGCTGTTCTGATGAGTTTGGAGACTGACTAGAGGAGGCCGTACTTGGTGAGTTCCGTGATGTAATTGATCAAAATTGATCTTGTTCAACATCAGGATAAAACAGAGCATCCCCTCCCCGAACATCACAGACAAAAAACCTGAGGCTTACATATTACATAATTAAACTCGCGATTGAGTGCAGAAGCAGTTCGAACCAGTTTTTCACCACTAATCGGCTCAAAAGCACTGCCCCTTTCCTTTTAGTGCATTAACGCTGACATATTAATGGTCTTCAGACATAATCCTGCCTATCGACTGAGATGGAAACGTCGGTATCGTTTGTTCTGGTTCTCACCGGACTTGCGATTAAGAAACTAGTCAGCAGCATGTTTCCGTGGGCAGTAATCATCCGCTGAGAATGTTTCTATTCTGTCGATGGATGGTGTAAACATAAGGCGTGGGTTGTCAGGCCTTTCTACCTTTTCAATACACCGCGGGTGTATCAATATCAAAATATCAAAAGTATCTTACCTTTATATGCCTTTATCAAAGATCTGCACAGCATTCGCTCGTGCTGAATCGGCTCGTGGCCTTTTGATGACGAACAACGTATGGCCCGCAAGTGACAAATGTCAACGGCTAAAAAAATCGTACCTCACAGCGAGGATGAATGCTTAAGGCGCGAAACCAAAGTCCATTCAGCCATTGAAGATGGGGTTTGAATTACAATTGTCTGTTATTCGAAGAGATATTGTGACTTGAGATAGGTACCTCCGTTGTCAGAACGTTATTGTAACGCGTAGAAGTGCATTGCTTAGGCATGCCTTTAATGGGATCCGGTTGTTAACGAGCTCGTGTCGCGTTAAAATATAAAAATAAGGGAACATGAACGATAGAAATGAATGCTCAAGGGCCTCAGCAGTTTTCATTCCATTTCATTCCAGCAGTTTTTTTTGCGCGTTAGCATTCGATGGCGCGAAAAATGAAATATTTAAACCATGCCTTATATGTTTCAGTAAATGAACAGTGAAATTAACAGCATTAAAGTGACAAGCAAAAAAAAAATATTCCGACGACATTTGATTCTTGTCAATTGTTTTCGCTATAATTTCCCCGAAAATATCTATTAATTTTCACTTGAGGTTGAAAGAATACATCAAACCTCCTGGCTCCTGAATAGTTAAAAATGCAGTTCTTTCAAATGTCAACAACGGTTTTTTTTGTTACGGATATTAGCTGTCGTAGTCCCCATCATGAGTTTCGATTTTAGTTTCACAACGTTTTGGCAAGCTGCTGTTCTGGCAGCTGCCCTAAACTGCCCTTTAGTGACGTGTATTTTTTTTTTTTTTAATTTAGCTCGAATGTTTGAATGAACGGATTGACAGAGCCGGAGTCCACGCTAAGCAGAGCTTGTTGCGTAGACCCCGACCCCTACCGTCCGATCGCGCAATTCCGGGTAACGGGAGAATTTAGATGCCAAAGTTTAACGTGCCCTTCAAAGCCGGACACGGCCTGTCCCACTCAACAGACTTCAACTGGCTGCGGCTGCTCCCACCAACCGCAGACCATCCCCGTCAGGAGTCTCATATATCGAGCGCCGGAGCGTCTCGAACCCGGGCTCTCACTACCGGGAGTCCGATGCTCTACCAACTGAGCTACGGGACAGGCATGAGCTACGGGACAGGCATTTCTTCCACAACCGCCAGTGATTTTTCCCCTGGCTGTACCCCTCCATACGTCATTTTCCGCTCACCGCACCCCTTATGACGTCATTTTCACTGCCAGGGCGAGTACCACCTGCTAACCGAGATGAACCGCCGCACAGAAGCCAAGTACCGTGAAATGCGCGACACTGGCCGGGAAACGCAGACGGCCATTGAACTCCTCAACGCCAAATACCTGGAATTGGAACCGTGTCTTAGGTAAGCACTCGCCTCTATATGTGGTGCATCCCCCTAACTGTGGTGCTTTATTGGGGTCTTCTGTTTGGGCTACCCATCCCGGCTAACGAGAATGTGTGCGGGCATGTGTTGTGAAGTGGTTGATGGATATGGCTATTTGCTAGAGATTCATTAAAATGACTTGCATGCTGTCATCGTTGATGATGACTTGACAAATTTGACGCTCGCTCACGATGCATATCTTATGTCAAGAACGAAGGTTTTAATTCCTTATTTGGGTGGGGCTTAGGGAATAGAGATTTTTACGAGACTCGTTTAAATGCAGCCATGGTCTGTTCCCGTTGCACGTGGCGAGGAGATTTGATTATTATTTAATTTATGACATCGATTAATGGCTGGGTTCTCTAGCCCGTGTGTAACAAAGTTCATCCCCAGCCCCCTGCCTTACTAACAATGTCCTTTTATGGTCCTCGTTCCTTACCTGTGACGCCTGTCCTGACCCGCTTCTGATTGGTGTTATGATATGACGTACATGTGTGACGTTTGTATGTGACGCGTGCTGAGCCGCGGTGGTCACAGCCCCCGGCCGAGTGGAGGAGTTCCGAACCATCTGGCCAACCCATCGCACCCGCGGGAGCCGCTCTCCCGTCGGGCTACTTCTAACTGTACAGTCAATTCTTGTCTCGGCTCATTTCTGAACAATATGTCGTGAAAAGTGGAAGTGTTATATTTGAGGAACGGACTAGACTATCACCGAACATTATTACACCGTGTTATGCCACTCGTGTTAGAAGTTTGTAAGAGTCGCGTCACTGAACGTGACAACAGCTGCGGAGACTTTGCCGTGGGTAACTGTGGGCGAACTGTATTTCCCTGTACCGGTATCTTGGCGGTTTACATTCGTACTAACGTTGTTTTGGTGGTACACTCGAATTTTATAAGGGCTCCTTCTCCGTCTGTGCTAATCTTGGCACCTTCTCCTATATTGTTATTGCCGATGTCTGCATATGGATTAGAGGTGCCCTTTTTCAACCCACCAGCCCGGAATGAGTGGGTAGACAAAACCCGCATGGGTTTGAGCGGGTTGCATCACCAGGAAATACCCTGGTGCGGGTTTTATGCGGGTATAAAAAATATCAGAAACTTAATAGCTAAAACAAAACAAGATTTCCTCTTGAAAATGGAAAATAAATATGCTGCAGCATGACCTAGAATACCTCACGTCCTCACATATGCAGTAAGATGTCCGGGAAAAATATGACTAGAAAGTGGAAAAGGTTTTTGGCGGCTATGCGGGTTGTTGCGGGCTGCTACCCATGAAGTTCCCCATGCGGGTAGTTGTGGGTATCTGAGGAAGGGTTGCGGGGCGGGGTGGGTTACCTGGATCCCCAAAAAGGACACCTCTGATATGGATGCTGTGTTGGAAAAAGATGATATTGTTAATCCCTGTACCACCAGGTTGGCAGTAAGCGCTTTCGCCATAAAGTGCCGCGTCAGCTTCTTGAACAAAGATAGAACAGCCGGACAGGCTGAGCAGCACCCCTAACACCCATGACACATATGACGCCGAAGTATTGTAATTTGGATCTATTGTGTCATTCTGTGTTGGAGCTTTTGAACGAGGGTTTCGGTCAGCGATATATTTATCGAATATAATATTGCGTTTTCTTAGAAATTACACGGCGGAAAGGAAACTTATTGATGGCTAGATTCAGATGAAATATATCAACAAAGCAGTTATGAGTTAAAGCTTTGAGTTGAAGAGTTGAAGTTGCATTTCAAGCTTTGTTGATAGAAAATGCAATTACTGAATAGGCGTGCAAGAATAAAGGACTTCAATGTCAAAAGAACATTATATTTAAAGATGCTATCAAAAGCATGCTTATCTGTCAAAGGAGAACGAATGTGGCCTAGAACTTCCTTTCAATATTATGCAATAGTATGTACTTATTTGTTACATCCTGGCAGTGATAACAGTTGAGAAGAGTATTGCCTACATTTGGATGCAAAAGAATTATCAATTTAATATTCAACGTAACATCATAATGATTTCATACTTGATTCTGGTTATGTAATATTTGATGATATTCCTCGACGATGTACGTAACAATATGACAATGATATGTACCAATTAGTGCGTTGCTTTGTGCGCACCCGTACGCAATAAGCCAGTTTCAGGTGTTCGAGAAATAATCACCTGCTAGCGACGCATGCTCCTTTGAACGGCGAAGCGTCTTCAGCTAACGTGGCAAGCGCTCACGCGTTGGATGCATCGGTTCAATGCTAATTGCGACTAGCTGGAACTAGCAATATGCGTGCAATCTGTGCGTCGTTGCAATTTCCTTCGCCTAACCTATTGACGGTAATGATGTTTTGTGTTAATTGCGACTCAAGATCAGTCTGAGTGGGCGATCGATAATAACAGAGTACTTGAGAGGATTTGGAAATAATACATAGACCCGATTTTAATTGTCGTTTGAAGTGTCGTTTCTAGATCATGGCACGAGTGAAGTGGTAAGAGTTTGCATCCGTAGACAAAAACGAAGGACACTGGATGTAGTTTAAAGTAATCTTGACTGGATGTCCCTCACTTAAACTCCGTGCGTCAACTTCCAATATCCCATTATCTCGTCACTCGAAAGAGACAATGGACATCAGGCCTTGAGGCGTTTTCACACCAGCAATGCAACGTGACCGCTTCCAAGTAAAAGAAGAGACATATTTGCATGTGACAACTCAATTCAGACGCATCATTAGAGTGTCGGCTGCCATTTCTAAACTTTATTTCATTTCTTTTTTCATGTCCATTGTACCAAGAACCACTTTTTCTTGCATGGTCTCGTGTAAAAGCACATCCGTTGTGTCACAACCTAATAGCCTGGTTGATGCAAGGGATGCGACTTGCTTTCGTAACGTCGTCTTGAGCAGTGTCACATCGAATTTTCTGCCTAATGTGTGGATGTAGCGTCTTGCAAGCGTCTTGTTTGGTGTTAGTTCCCTACGTTTCGGCAAGCGGCTTCTCAGATGTTGCAAGATCATGGGACGTTTTTAACGATGTGTCGTTTACCAGATGCGTTTAGAAGTACCTGTGGTCAGTGGACATGGAACTCAGGCTTCCCTGTTGATAGCCAACGGTCCTGGTCAAATGAGAAATCCGGGAACTTATTCCTTTTTTAGTAGGGATAATTTGGCTTTCATTCGTTTCAAGTTCCTCAAGGTTTAGTCAAATTATGCTGGAAATCGAGGAGTCCCAGCGTGGCGTGGCTTAGTATTCCCCCTCCTTCATTGCGCTCCCCAAATAGACTGGAGTCTTGTATAAACCAAAGGGTGGCAATGACTGTATATCCTTTTATAGACAGCCCATCCGCCACTAGCGGCTAAAGTTACATCCTAGCCAACCTAATATACCTTCCGGCCACCCTCGCAGCTCTCAGTTTTTCCCCACTATATTAACAATTCAGACAACACCTACTCTATAAAAAGGTCACACCTACATTGCGTCCGCATGAGCCCATATATGAAATATCTCCACGCCGCTGCACGTTGTCCGCCTATTTCCGGCCAACAAATATTGTCTCTTGTTTCACCATGGTGGATCCCCTGGCAAATCTGTCCTGAAAATCGTTTTGGAATAACGCACCCAATGGGTCAATTATGAGACTGACGATATTTCATGCATTAATGTTTCGTTCTATAGCGCTTACCGACATGTAGCTCCTGTAATATACACCCTCCAATTGGTTTTGTGAATGTCTCAAAAAGTCATAGATGTGGTGTGAATAGATGTGGATAGACGTGGTGGTCCTAAAAAATGCCGAAGCTTTTTGATCTTCTGCCGAAGCCATTGATCAAAAGGAAAAACCTCGACATCTTTGGCTGAGTTTTAAAGACAGGCTGGCTTGAGCTCTCTAAATTAAGTTCCGCTGACTACTATTTTCACGAAGGGCAGAAACGCCTCTCTCTCTCTCTCTCTCTCTCTCTCTCTCTCTCTCTCTCTCTCTCTCTCTCTCTCTCTCTCTCTCTCTCTCTCTCTCTCTCTCTCTCTCTCTCTCTCTCTCTCTCTCTTTCTCCCTATATCCCTCCTCTCCTCTCCTCTCCTCTCCTCTCCTCTCCTCTCCTCTCCTCTCCTCTCCATCGTCTTGGCCTGAGCTGAAGTTGTCAGCATCTGGTTGAACGCATAACCGGCCAGACTGTGCATTGCGCAATGCGCATTACACAAGCATTATATAACGCCAAATATAACGCGGGCGCCAAATATCGATACCCAGACGGCAGCTGCCAACATCACGCGGCCCCCACTGCAGGCTGTGGCTACTTGCTTGGCGTTTCTGCTGACCGCTAGCTGCTTTTTATGTGACAGTGGCGCGGCTGTGACTGACTGCGTGGACGTTGAGGGGTGGGTTAGGGATTCACCGAGATCAAAGTAAAGTGCCCCGATTACCCGGAATCGCTTGATCGGGCGATGGGGGTCTGCGCAACAAGCTCCGCTTAGCGTGGGCTCCGGCTCTGTCAATCTGTCCATTGGAAATGTCGAGCTAATTTGCTGTGAAGCGCTGGTGGTCTCAATAAGCATGACGCCCAGTCTTTGGAATCAGGATGTTGGCGTGTTAATAAAAAACGTTTAATTGTGTGACGCGGCTGTTACAATTGCCAAGTTTGAGGGCGTGATTAGGTACATTTGATTGGGAAATTCAGTTGAGCTTCGTACGTGCAGTATCAGCATTATGGGCTTTCCCCAGATACATTTGATTATTGCCTCATTTCCGCCTTTCGTTTGTAATTAATTCCTCAGAATTGTTTGTGGGCATGTTCAATTTCAATTTGACATTTTGTAACGCCTCGGGGCACACAGCTACCGGAACGGACTGCGTGGCAGTTCCTCGCGGAAAGCGGTAGCGATTGCTTATTACTAATTGCTATCAAATGATATCGAGCATGGTAAATTGCTAACGCTTTACCAGAAAATGGTTTTTTCGATTTGGAGCAGAGTCGGTGGTGCAATGCAGTGAAGTGGCTTCATC